ATTAATTAAGATCTTAATTATTGCATTTAAAATTCAGTGCAGCCCTAACTGGTTTGGCTCAGTGGATAGAGCATTGGCCTGTGGACTGAAAGGTCCCAGGTTCAATTCTGGTCAAGGGCATGTACCTTGGTTGTAGACACATCCCCAGTAGGGGGTGTGCAGGAGGCAGCTGATCGATGTTTCTCTCTCATCGATGTTTCTAACTCTTTTTCCCTCTCCCTTCCTCTCTGTGAAAAATCAATAAGATATATTTTTAAATAAATAAACAAATAAATAAATAAATAAATAAATAAAATTCAGTGCATATTCATCTTTAACTCATCCCCTTTCCCGTCTTAAAAACAAAAAACAAACTTAATTGTGAAAAATTTCAAATATGTATAAAGTACACAAAATTGTTAGTGTAATGAATATCCTTATATCACTCAGGTTTGACAATTACCAATATTATGCCAACTTGTTTAATCTATACCTCCACCTACTCTCCACCTGCCATTCAGTTAATATTTTTTCATTGATTTTAGAGACAGGGGAAGAGAGAGATGGAAACATGGATGAGAGAAAAACATCAACATCAATCAGCTGCCTCCTTCATGCCCTCTGCTGGGAATTAAGCCTGCAACCTGGGCATATGCCCTGACCAGGAATTGAACCAGCGACCACCTGTTTCACAGATCAATGCTCAACCACTGAGCCATATCAGCCAGACTGTTATTTTTTAAGATAAATTTTATATATATTGAGGTGCCCAAATATTAACTGTACAACTTTGACAATCAATGGATACATCTGTGTAACCTACATCACAAATAAGATATAAAATACTTCCATCACCCCAAAAAGTTCCTTCTCTTTCATTCTAGTCAATATTTTGTCCACTCCCCCACCCTTCAGGCAACCACTGTTCTGATTGTTCTTTTCCCAACAGAGAACAGTTTTGCCTGTTCTATAATTTCATAAACATGGGACCAGCTAGTACTCTTTTGTATCTCAAGCTCCTTTTAATTAGCATAATGTCTGTGAGCTTCATTCATCTTATTTATAAGTAATTCGTTCTTTTTTATTGCTGAGAAGTGTTCCGTGGTTTGAATATATTACAGTTTGTTTATTCATTCTTCTATTGGTAGACACTTGGTTATTTTCAGTTTTGGGTCTTTGTAAATAAAGCTGTTATGAACATTCTTTTTTTTATTATTGATTTTTTACAGAGAGGAAGGGAGAGAGATAAGAGAGCCAGAAATGTCGGTGAGAGAGAAACATCGACCAGCCGCCTCCTGCACTCCTACCGGGGATGTGCCCGCAACCAATGTACATGCTCTTGACCGGAATCGAACCTGGGACCTTTCAGTCCGCAGACCGATGCTCTACCACTGAGCCAAACTGGTTTCGGCTGTTATGAACATTCTTGTAGAAGTCTTTTTGTGAATGTTTTCATTTCTCTTAAGTAAAAACCTAGCTTCGAATAGCAGAATCAAAGGGTAGGTGTACGTTTAACTTTACAAACAACTACCAAACCTTTTTCCAAAGTGATTCTATTTTACATTCTTACCAGAAATGTATGAAAGTTCTGTTTGCTTCACACCTAATAAATTTTTTCAGCAGTCTATTAAATGTTTTGCTTTTCTAGTGGGTGTGTAGTGGTTTCTCCTTGTGGTTTTAATTTTCATTTCTTTGATGACTAATAGTAAACATTTTTCATGTGTTCTTTGTATCCTTGTTCAATTATGTCTCATTCTTTGTAAAGTGTGTTCAAGTGTTTTTGCTATTTTCTTAACTGGGTTGTCTTTTTTTTTTTTTTTTTTTTTTTTTTAATTGATTTTGTACAGAGAGGAAGGGAGAGAGATAGAGAATTAGAAACATCTATGAGAGAGAGTCATCGATCAGCTGCCTCTTGCACACCCCCTACTGGGGATATGCCGGCAACCAAGGTACATGTCCTTGACCGGAATCGAACCCGGGACCTTTCAGTCCCCAAGCCGACGCTCTATCCATTGAGCCAAACCGGTTTCAGCAACTGGGTTGTCTTTTTGAGGTATACAAAGTTTTTATATTTTCACATAAGAGGTCTTTCTCAAATATACATATTTTCCCAGTCCATAGTTTGCCTATTCATTTTCTTAATACTTTTCAATGAATAGAATGTAACAATGCCACCATCTCTTTGAACCTCTGTGAAAAGCAGCAGCAATGAACAATCAGAGCAGATCCCAAATATATGGAGGGCAGGGTGCTTTATGCCCCCAACCTCCCGCCTGGTTCCCACAATCTGTACACAGAGTGTGCTGAGAAAACATGCACAACTGCCTGCTACAAGGCACACTAGTGAGAGATGAGTAACTACTGTGCTAACAGCTGAAAATGGCCAAAATTAGCTTCAATTTACCTCCCAACCCTCCCCCGGGAAGTTACAAGCCTTTAACAGACTCTAGTAAGGCCAAAATATTTACATTAGACAGATTCCGTCCGTGTAATTTTATCTAGGTGGGAAGATAGATTTCTGTTGCTTCCTATTCCACCATCTTCCCAAGAATCTTCAAACCATATCTTAATGTTTAATAAGTTATTCTGCTTTTGTTATCACTTAATGATTTATCTTTAATCAAATTTTAACTAAAAGAAAGAATCCTACTAACTTCATTATGTTTAAACCTTTAACTAACCACCTATACACACAGTGTCTTTCAGTCTGGACATAGGCCAAGAGATGGTTGCTGGACAGCTAGAAAATGCAGTTACCAGTTAAGAGGAACAGATTAAAAAAGAAAAAGAAAAAAAAGAAAAAAAGAGGGACAGATAAAAGGGCCATGTTTTCTGAATTCAAAACTCAGATCAGGGCTTGTCAAAGATTTAAGAATGATTATATGAACAATCTTGTAAATATATAAAAACTAGCCCTGGCCAAGTGGCTGAGTTGCTTGGAGCACCATTCCATACACCAAAAAGGTTGTGGATTCGATATCTAGTCAGAGCACATACCTAGGTTGTAGGTTGTAGGTTGATCCCCAGTCTGGGGTGCATTCAGGAGGCAACTAGTCAATGTTTCTCTCTCCCCCAACCTTCCTCTCTCTCTAAAAATCAATAGAAAACATATCTTCAGGTGAAGATTGTGTGTGTGTGTGTGTGTGTGTGTGTGTGTTGCATTGTAAATTTAATGTACTGGCCTTTACTAAAAATAAAGAAAGCCCTGGCCGGTGTGACTCAATTGGTGGGGTACCATCCCATTCACAGAAGGGTTGCCGGTTTGATTCCTGGTTAAGTCATGTGCCCAGATTGCAGGCTTGATCCCTTCCTCTCCCTTCCTCTCTCTCTCAAAATCAATAAACTATTCTTTTTTAAAATATATTTTTATTGATTTCAGAGAGGAAGGGAAAGGGAAAGAGAGATAGAAACATCAATGATGAGAAAGAATCATTGATTGGCTGCCTCCTGCACATCCCCTACTGGGGATCAATCCCACAACCCACGCATGGCGTGTGCTCTTGACCATAATTGAACCAAGGACCCTTAGTCCACAAGCCAATGCTCTATCCCCTAGCCAAACCGGCTGGGGCAATAAATTATTCTTTAAATTTTTTTAAATAACAAAAACTTAAAAATCTAATAAAAATTGTTCCTAGAAAACACCCAGCCAGTGTGGCTTAGCATTGACAACCCACGAACCAAGAGGTCACCAGTTCGATTCCTGGTTGTAGGCTCAATTCCCAGTGGGATGCATGCAGGAGGCAGCTGATTGATGTTTCTCTCTCACAAATGTTTCTATCTCTCTATTCCTCTCCCTTCTTCTCTCACAAAAAAAAAATATATTAAAAAAAAAAAAAAAAAAAAAAACTGTCCCCAGAAAACTAAACCATATAGTCTCCACATACAAGTTGAAAGAAGAGCAGAGAGCCAAAGCCAGTTTGGCTCAGTGGATAGAGCGTCAGTCTGCAGACTGAGGAGTCCCAAGTTTGATTCCAGTCAAGTGCATGTGCATGGGTTGCGGGCACATCCCCGATGGGGAGGGTGCAGGAGGCAGCTGGTTGATGTATCTCCCTCATCGATGTTTCTAGCTCTCTATCACTCTCCCTTCCTCTCTGTAAAAAATCAATAAAATATATTTTTTAAAAAGAAAAAAGAAAGAAGAGCAGAGAGTGGGGTAGACATTGATCATTGAATGAATTCTTTTCAACTTTCATTCATTATATGTTTTGATCATAACATCTCAACAAATGTCATAAATAAGATCAATACATTTTTCTTTATACTTAATGTAAATACCAACAATGTTCTCTTATCAACATTATACAAGTGTACCACTTCACAGTTTTCTTAATCAATAAAATAATCTACATAGCCAAAACCGGTTTGGCTCAATGGATAGAGTGTCAGCTTGCAGACTGAAAGGTCCCAGGTTCGATTCCGGTCAAGGGCATGTACCTTGGTTGCGGGCACATCCCCAGTAGGGGGTGTGCAAGAGGCAGCTGATCTATGATTCTCTCTCATCGATGTTAATAACTCTCTATCCCTCTTGCTGCTTCTCTGTAAAAATTAAATAAAATATATTTTTTTAAAGAAAAATAAAAATGGAATTCTTTAAAAAAATAAATAAAATAATCATCTATATATATAAAAGCCTAAGCAACCAGAAGACCAGCCAACCAGTCAGTAGCTATGACACACACTGACCACTAAGGGGCAGACGCTTAATGAAGGAGCAGAAACCACAGGCATGGAAACATGGAACAGACTAATGAATCTAAGAGGGAAGGGGTGGGAGGAAGGTGGGAAGAGATTAACCAAAGATCTTATATGCATACTAGAGGCCCAGTGCACGTGCGCCAGTGGGGGCCCTCGGGCTGGCCTGCGGAGCTGGGGCCAAAACCAGCTCTCCAACATCCCCAAAGGGATCCTGGGTTGCGAGAGGGTGCAGGCCAGGCCGAGGGACCCCATCGGTGCATGAATCTTTGTGCTGGGCCCCTAGCATGTAATAAAAATAACATCACAAGAATAAAAAACACAAGTACAATGTAGAAAATACAAAAACGTAATTGATTTGCCTTATTCACTGAATGATTGGCTATACAGATATAATTTCTGCCTTGAAGTTTAAGGCAGTTTCATTTTTCACCAGAGTTACATTTTCTGATAATATGCTAGAATCAGCATCTTCTGTCTTGTCTGTATTTAACTGATCATTTATGTTTTATACATTTGTGTACCTGAGAACCATATTTTCTTCATGATCACTGAGGTAATATAAAATGTCATTGCCTTCATATATTTGAGTAATACCGATGACGGTTTTGAAAGTCTCTATGAGCATATTTTGCATATGTCTTGTTATGTGGGATCCTTCCAAAAGGTTCATGGTCATTGAAACACGATTCAAAAACTTCATCAACAGCTTTTTCGGCTACTTCTTTGCTGACATTCCTAACAGCCAGGATAGAAAGAATGGCTCTGTCTCTGACACAAGTCTAAAGAGAAAAAAAAAAGTATATGGCTTTAGTTTTATATGAAAATTTAATCATGAAATAACATTTTATATATCTGAACCATAATCAAAACTCATTTCTGCCCTGGCTGGTTTGGCTCAGTGGATAGTGTCAGCCTGTGGACTGAAGGGTCCTGGGCTCAATTACGGTCAAGGGCATATGCCTGGGCTGCCGGCTCAATCCCCAGTGGGGGGCATTTAGGAGGCAACCGATCAATGATTCTCCCTCATCATTGATGTTTTTATCTCTCTTTCCCTCTCCCTTTCTCTCTGTAAAAAAATCAATAAAATATTATTTTAAATGATAATAATAAATAAAAAATAAAATGTAAGCCCAGGACGGCCAGGATAAAAGTAAGACAGGCTGTGACTTCACTTCCACTCCTTATCTACCCCATCCATAAGTATCCCAAGAACGGGATCATCATAGTTCTTTTCACTATTAAAATCTCTGTCGGTCACACAGCTCAACCATAATTATAAGCCAGAACTAAATTCCATCTATTTGGCTTAAACGGTATACAGTTTGTATTCATTTCATGTAAGTAGCTCTTTCAAGTTTCAAATACTAACTGTACGTCTCATTTCTTTATTTATTATTTCCACTCTTAGCACTCTTAGAGGTAAATGATTTCATGTTAGTTTTTACCTGATGGTGTTGTTTTAATCCAAAACGTAATCTGAATATTTCATTCACAAGTGAGCAGTCTCCACTGAGGTTAGCAGCTCGAATCTATCACAAAGACAGAAGTAAATGAAAAGAAAATAAGTGTCCAGGCTCTCTACCTTTATAACAACCAATTTTTTTTTAATTATAAAAATATATAAAAGTAGCATTTTTTTCTGAGATCCGAGTAACCGTAAGACTTTTTGAAAGAATTTTTTTAACTCTATTGGTTCCAGAAGTTCTTTAGTAAGAAAGAGGGCAGCTGTCCGTGAGCTTGTCAGACAATGCCAAAGGCTCTGGGCTGGGTGTGCATGACAGCCCGACATTAGGACATATTTTCTAACTTACCACATTATTAAAGTGAAAAGCAGCTTTAATGGATGAAACATCTTGGGACTACCCACACAGATTCTACAGCTAACCTGGCCACATTCTTGCTAATTCACTGCAAACAGAATGACCCACTTCATGCTACTTTACAATGACACGGTCTTATTCCTCTGACAGCTCAAGGCACTCACACACTTTAGCCAACTGACATTAATCTTCATAACACCAGAGAGAGACCTACTTAAAAATTCAGGATTCACTAATGAGCAAAATAAACTGATGAACAAAATAGAAACACAGGCAGGGATACATGGAACAGACTGACAGCTGTCAGGAGGAACGGGGCGGCAGGAAGGGACACTGGATGAAAGACGGCGAAGGGATTAGCCAAAGAATATATAAGCCTAGCCCACAGACACAAGACAACCGTGGGGCGATGGCCAGAGGGAAGGGGGACTATAGGATGGGTGCAGGTGGGCAATGGGTGGGGGGTGACATCTGTAATAGTGTCAACAATAAAAATAAAGTTTAAAAAAAAAACTACTCAGGATTCAGTCTAGTCTCCAAATAATGAGTTATAATTAGATGCAGTGAGGTTGCTTATTAATTTTAAGGGAAAGAGAATATAATCTAAATTATAAAATATAAAGTTGAAATTTATATTAGTTTTTTAATTTCTCGATACATTGTACTCTTGGATTAATGAAATTCAATTATGAAATACTTATGTCTCTCCAAAAGTATATTTATATTTACATGTATATTTTTTAGAGCAATCCGAAGTGCTTATTCACAAATATATTTTTATATTTTACTCTAGAGCAAGAAAGGATCTTTACCTAAAGAAAGCAGCCCAGGAAGCCAGTTAGGAACCCTGGTTATAAATCTGAAGTATGGAATCTAAACAAATGCCTTCCTTTCCACAGATATTAAATGAGGATAATAGTGTCCACTTCCATGGGCTGTTGTGACAACTATAATATATAAGGACCCACAATCGCTTTCCGTGCTGAAAGCACTCACACAAACATGGAGAATGTTCCTAAAACCCGCTGGACTTCCTGTAAGAAGTGAGGCAAGCATAAACCCCACAAAGTAACACAATACAAGATGGGCAAGGATTCTCTGTGCACAGGGAAAGCGGCATTACTCCAGGAAGCAGAGTGGCTGTGGTAGGCAGACTAAGCTGATTTTCCACAAAAAAAGCTAAAACTACAAAGAAGTTTGTGCTGAAGCTCAGTTGGTTAGAGAGTTTGTCCTAATGCACCAAGGTTATGGGTTTGATCCCCAGTCAGGGCACATATAAGAATCAACCAATGAATGCCTAAATAAGGGGAACAACAAATCAATCTCAACCCCTCTCTCTTTTTCTCTCTCTCTCTTTTTCTCTTCCTCCCTCTCTGGGGTTGTGCCCACAACCAAGGTACATGCCCTTGACCGGAATCGAACCCAGGACATTTCAGTCCGCAAGCTAATGCTCTATTCACTGAGCCAAACCAGTTTCAGCTCAATAAATTTTTTAAATAATAAAATCAATTAAAAAAAATTGTTTTTTGATTTGTTTAAAGAAGATTGTGCTGAGGCTTGAATGTGCTGAGCCCTACTGAAGATCTAAGAGATAGCTGGCATTAAGAGATGCAAGCATTGTGAACCAGGAGGAGATAAGGGAAGAAAGGGCCAGGTGTGCCTGCGTTATGGAGCCTGCGTGTGGATGTCCCGCGTCTGAGGCCGTGCTGAGCTGAAAGCTGAGTGAGCTCAGGAGGAACAAGGGGGAGTTCTAGTATCTGCCACGGTAACCTCATCAGCCCAGCAAAATGGCGATGCCAGCAGCCAAGAGTGCGAACATTAGACTTCCACCTGGAGTAAATCGGATTTACAAAATCACAGCTGAAGAAAGGTATGATATATTTGGGAACTACAGATCTATTCCTCAAATCGGAGTGAGGAACACATCTGAAACTAGAGGAACAGCTTACGTGCTCTGTGAGGACATCTTTGATGCCAAGAACGCATGTGACCACCTGTCCGAATTCAACGTCTGAAACAGATACCTCGTGGTTTTGTACTATATTGCCAACAGGGCATTTCCGAAGATGGACACAAGGAAGAAGGAAGAATAGTTGAAACTTCTCAAGGAAAAATATGGCATCAATACAGATCCACCAAAGTAAACATTTTCTGCATTTTTATTTTGAACTCTACCCTTTTTCAATTTTTAATTAATACTAAGTATTGCAGTTTCTTGAGCTTCAGAATAACGTGCTTGAAATTTTGACAATGTTAGAATATATAGTTAGTAAACGTGGAGCTTTTTGTAAAAAAAAAAAAAAAAAGAAGAAGAAGAAGAAGAGGAAGAGAAAGGGCCTACTGATCTAGTTCTAAGCTTCGTGTTTTGTTTTATTATGTAACAATAAAATCTTGAGGATATGTTCACTTAAAAAAAAAAAATCCACAAACAGAACAATGTTTGGCACACAACCTTCAGTAAATGTTAACTGCCCTTAATTTTTATGTTACATAGTTCATTCCATAAGAAATAGTTTATTATAATTAAAGTTAATCACTATTATTAGGATTAAAAAGGTTATATTTAATACAATTCTAAAAAATACTTAAAATTTCTCTGTTGTGTCTCAAAAATTTGTATTCAATAGTTAGAAACAGAAATTGAAGACGAACATGGAGCTATCACAATAGGAAAATGAGTATCCTATATAATTCTATATAATAAAATCCTAATAGGCTAAGTGTCTGGTTGTCCAGTCAGCCGTTCAACCAATCAAAGCATAATATGCTAATGACATGCTAAGGCCATTCAACCACTCACTATGATGTGCACTGACCACCAGGGGGCAGACACTCCCACCAGTAGGTTAGCTTGCTGCTGGGATCTGGCCAATCAGGGCTGAGCAAAATGGGCTGGACATGCCCTGGAACCCTCTCACAATCCCTCCTCAGCTGGCAACCTCCTGCATTCCTCCCCAGCTGGCCAACTCCATCATCTCTCCCCAACCCTGATCATGCACCAGTGGGGTCCCTCAGCCTGGCTTGCACCCTCTTACAATCCAGAACCCCTCAGGGGATGTCAGAGAGCCAGTTTCAGCCCAATCCCTCAGTCCAGGTCAAGGGACCCTCTGGTGCACAAATTCATACATCGGGCCTCTAGTGTTTAAATATTTTAATAAATTGTTCAAACACAGTGTTCTGCAGGGGGGGAAAAGATATCGTTTACAATAAAACTCACCTCTGAGCAGGCCAAATGTCTGACATTGGTGAACCAGTCGACATGAGCACGACAATGATCAAACGTATGAATGAGCTCGTGGGTGACCACTCTGTTCATATGGGCCTGATTACGGATATTATTCTGGCACAAAACAATCTAGGAGGCAAAATAAGAGAAGTTCAGTCATGTCTAAAATCCATTCTCATTTCATGGAGTCTATCTCTCTCACACATGAGGGGGACTTACCTGCTGGCATTGCCTCCACTCACTTTTCTCCACTGACCCCACAACTCTCTGTATGTCAAGGGTCAGTCTAAGTGCATGCCCCAGTAAGCCTTCCCGATGACTAACTTCTCTGCTCTCTCCTCTCTGGACTAGAAGAGCACTTTGATTGAGGACAGGTACTCACACACTGTCCTCATTGGCTAACTGTCTCAGTGTGTCTTAGACTCCATAGCATTGTATTTAGAGTGTGGACTTTGGAAGAAGCTGACAGATTCAAATTCTAGCCCTATTCCTTACTAATTCAATGACCTAGGGCAAGTTTCCTACCTTCCCTGTGCCTCAGTTTCCTCAACTATGAAAGGAAATCATTAGAGTACCTACCTCATAGAATTGTGAGAATTAAATGAGAATATGTGTAAAATGCTTCTGAATGAGCTTCTGAATGAGCAATACAATGAATGACCACCACTGTCCCACTCTACTAAACTTGCCAGGAAAAAAAATACTCAGAAAGACCTTCAGAAAAGTGCAAAAAGCCCACAGCACTCTGAAGAGGACCCTATAAGAATAATAAAGACATGAGAGATCCTAATAATAATAAGTTACCATTCAGCCGAAGCCAGTTTGGCTCAGTGGTAGAGCGTCGGTCTGCGGACTGAAAGGTCCCAGGTTCGATTCCGGTCAAAGGCATGTACCTTGGTTGCAGGCACATTCCCGGAAGGGGGTGTGCAAGAGGCAGCTGGTCGATATTTCTCTCATCGACGTTTCTAGCTCTCTCTCTCTCTCTCCCTTTCTATCTGTTAAAAATCAATAAAATATTTTTTTTTAATAAAAAGTTACCATTCAACATCCATTTATTCAACTGATATTTATGGAGACCTTTTAGATGTATAATCTACTAACAGAGATAGAAATTATTTACCAAAATGTTTAAATACATGCAATGACAGCTGTCATGAAGAAAAGCCCAGGTTGGCATGAGTACCTACAATGAGAGTACCTGGCCTGGTCTGGAGGCTGGGGAAGGCTTCTCTGCAGAAGGATGTTTAAACTGGGATCCAGTGGGTGACTGGTAGTTAAATATGAGGAAAGGGGGAGTGCCTGAACCATCATTGTCTCACTAATTAGAAAGGTGTGAACAAGAAACCCAGAAGGCTGGTCAACCTTGAAGCTCTGTAAGGTCAGAGCCAACCAATCCCTACCTAGTTGAGACCGTGGTACCTGAAGCAACTTCCCCACCAAATAATCATGTAAATCCTTACTGGTAAAATAATCTGCCAGTTACTGGAATTGCCTGCCTGAGGGCAATGGGTGTATCCCAAACTGAATAAAAGGGAGAGACGGCAAGGCCCAAGCAAAGTGTAGTCCTCCGGCTAGAGTTGGGCTTCCACCTGGCCTCCATTTCCCAGATAAGTAATTTTCTAGTCTCTTTCATTTGTGTGGGACCTTCCCCAAAACCCGAACCCTGAACCTGAACCCTGAACCACAAAGGCCGTGAAAGGGGTTCCCACAAGGGAGCATACCTAGCCAAAGGGCATGGGGAGGGTTGAAGGAACAGAATGTTGGAGAAGCAGGCTTATGTTTCTGAAGCACAAGTTTGAGGTGGTCGGCATCAGATAAGGCTGGTGAGGTCAGCAGTGGCCAAATCATTGAACACCTTGCCTTGGTCCTGAGACCAGTGGGAAGTCACTGAAAGGAAGTAGTGAAATGGGAGGGGCAGGGGGATGGCTTTGATTTTATTTTGTTTTTATTCCTTTGACTATAGTTAGAAAAATAGGCAGAAGATGACCAAAACTGATTCAGAGAGACTAGCTGAAGGTTAATGAGGAATTCTAGGCATGAGGTAATAGGACCTGAGCTAGGATAGAGAAAGCCAACAATATTATCTAGGAGGTAAATTAGATAAAATTTGGTGGTGGGCTCAGTGGTTGAACGTCAGTCTATGAGGGCCACAGTTTGACTCCCCATCAGGGCACATGCCCAGATTGCGGGCTCAATCCCTGATATGGGGCGTGAGGGAGGTGGACAAGAGGTGACACTCTCTCATCATTGATGGTTCTCTCTTCCTCTCTTTCCCCCCCACCCCACTTCCTCTTTGAAATCAATTTTAAAGTGTATTAAAAATTTGGTGGATAGAATATGGGAAGAGATCAGAGGTATCAAGAATGATCCTGTCAAAAACGGTTTGGCTCAGTGGATAGAGCGTTGGCCTGCTGACTGAAGGGTCCCAGGTTCAATTCCGGTCAAGGGCATGTACATTGGTTGCAGGCACATTCCCAGTGGGGAGTGTGCAGGAGGCAGCTGATCGATGTTTCTCTCTCATCAATGTTTCTGACTTTCTATCCCTCTCCCTTCCTCTCTATAAAAAAAATCAATAAAAATTTTTTTTTAAAGATATCAGATTGCCCAATTTAAAAAAAAAAAAAAAAAAAAAAAAAAGGAATGATCCTGGCCGAAACCAGTTTGGCTCAATGGATAGTGCGTCGGCCTGCGGACTCAAGGGTCCTGGGTTTGATTCCGGTCAAGGGCATGTACCTTGGTTGTGGGCACACACCCAGTGGGGAGTGTGCAGGAGGCAGCTGATCGATGTTCCTCTATCATCAATGTTTCTAACTCTCTATCTCTCTCTCTTCCTCTCTGTAAAAAATCAATAAAATATTAAAAAAAAAAAAAAAAAAAAAAAAAAAGGAATGATCCTGAATTTCTGGTTTGTATAATAGGATGGATGGTGGTACCATTCACTGAAATATGCAAAACTAAAAGACCAGGTTGGGCGGGGTAGGGGATGGTAAAAACCATCAATCTGAAAAAAGAAATCATTAATCTGGACTTGGACAGGTCAGATCTGAGGTGCCTTTAAGACAACTAAGAGTGGGTATTAAGTAGGCACTTGGATAAATGAATGTGGAGTTCAAGAGAGAGCTCTGACCTAGGAAAATAAATGAGATCCCCTAGCAGAGTACAGAGTAAAAAAGAAGGGGTCTAACTCCAATAATGAAGGGACTTCAACACTGAAGGGCTGACAGAGGAAGGTGAGCCAGCGAAAAAACTACCAGAGGAGTGCCATACGCCGGGGACCATGGCGTCACCTGCTGATGTCACATGTATGCAAACCATAGGACCCAGCAATTCCACTCCTCAATATATAGCTTGCATAACTTTTTGCACATGTGCACCAGGAGGAAAGTTAAAAAATATTCACAGCAGCATTGCTCAAAGTAACAAAGTTGGAAAGAATCAATATTAGGTAAGGTAAATAATAGTACAGACACACCATGGAATACTATCCATCAGTGAAACTAATAAACCAAAGGTATACACAACAACACGGAAGAATCTCACAATGCTGAACAAAATAAATGCTGCAAAAGATGATATACTATATGATTTCATAAAACTATAAGGTATTACCTTTACCTCAAAGTATCCCATGAATAAACCTGAAGTGCAGGCAACTAAGTAACACATTAGTAGTTGCCTAATGTGTTAGGCGGGGAGGGGTGGGTGCACAGGAGAAGTGGATGAACTGACCAAGACCCAATCTGAGCGCTAGAGGTACTGTGGTTACTAATTTACAAGTGAGGAGACTGAGAATAAGGCAATAGCTTGCCCACACCCCACAGCTAATGAGGCTATTAGATATAATCATTACCCATGTTTTACAAAGGAGTTATCTCACTGCCCTAATCAAAAATTGTCAAAGGTAGCCGAAACCGGTTTGGCTCAGTGGACAGAGCGTTGGCCTGTGGACTGAGGTGTCCTGGGTTCGATTCCGGTCGGGAGCATGTGCCATGGTTGCAGGCGCCTCCCCAGTGGGCCTGTGTAGGA